AGATGAAACAACATTCTAGAATTCTCTTTGATTGGGAGTATATCGTGACCACATGAAACAACGGGCTGAATTTATATAAAATTAGCAAAAGGTAGCGCGCCCCTCAACCGCAAGGCAAAAATGTATAAAAATGTCAATTGTCACATAAAGAAGACACAACTGAGAAAATCAATGCTGTGGTGATTATACATTTACACATAAATTATAAATGTATTAGGGCAAAGTAAAGTACCTTCGTTCTGGAAATCCAACCTGTGATGTTAGAGTTAGAGATACACGACAGCTCACTGCCACCGCCGCCAAAATCCTCAACTGGATTATTATGATAAAAAGCATCACAATTCCGAAGGTACATATGTGTGTGGATGGATGGTGCGTGTTGAACTTGACACAGGCCACATCTACACGTGTATAATAATAATGTAAAAAAATGTAGAGAAGAACACTGCGCCAATGGGGAGGAGCAATGCTCATCTTACGCTCTGTACTTGTTTTCCTTATAATTCTATCTCGCATTCTCTCTGTTTTCTTTTTTTTTTTAATTCCTAAACTCTGGGAAATAACAGCACTAAACAAATTACTGCTACAGCTCCATCATCAGCTTCCAACATTTTCCTGCCCCAAAAACGTCCAAACGTCTTAACGTCCACCTCAATTTTTTGGTCGTAGAGCACACTCTCTTTTGAAATACCACCAAAAAAAATATTTAAAAATCAAATATCATGTGGCTGACCAGACAGGCTGGTATTTGTTCGTCATTTATGTTAAAGCCAAACTTCTCCAGGAATGTCATTGGTTTCAATCTACAAAAAGGCAATATAATTATAATATATGCGGAAATAACTGAAGACACATCACTTTAATTTGAAAGGAAAAAAAAAAAGAAAACCACCCCACACCCAAATCAATAACATTCCAGTACAAGTTGTCCTTCCGTGCAATTCCAATAGAAGTGACACAGTATAATAAATATTACTAAAAAAAGCCAATATATCGAAACAGAATTTCAATAGCGTTCCACAGAGCAGTACAATAACCATTACGAGAACAGCCAACACATCCATCAATGTTGTCTCCCTTTAAACTCAGAAATCGGTGTAAACTCCAAGCGCTAGTATGACCTTGTGTAGTTGTGAGCGCTGCAAACATTTTACCTACCCCCCCCCCCCCCCAAATAAAACAACACACTACACAGACATTCATTGAGATTTCATGTTCTCGTAACATTTCTCACAGGTAAAGTAAATACTTTTGTTGTGTCAACACTCAATCTGCATACATTTTACTCAATATCCATTCATTAAAAAACACATAAAAGACCCAATGAAATAATCACGCCCAACAAGTAGTGAGTGACAATTGTCAGGAAGATTGTCTGCTTTTGTCCCCTGTGAATCACGAGTAAACATCCAAATAAACAACTCGAACTAACAAACAAAACATTCAACAATCTCTTTCTCTTTTTTCTATTTTTCATACTTAATAATATCCTCTTTCCCCTGCATAAAAAAGAACCCAAAACAAAGTACACATTATGTCCATTATTTAGAATTAGTCTGAATCATTAGAAATACATACATACAGATGTATATATATTAGAAGTGGGCAAAATCCGGATAAACTATAAGGATAACCGGATAATTCTCAATGAAACATCTTCCGAATTTAGACTCTTTTAACTCCCTTTCCTGACCTGTTTGCCGAAGTGGGTGCACCCATTTGTTGAAGTGATGCTAACCCGTTTGTCAAAGTGGTTCTAACCCATTTGACGAAGCGGTTCATATCATATCAATTGCCGAAGAGGTGCACTAACATATTATCCGAGTTTTGCTAAAGCGACTCATTGCCCAGCCCTAATATATATCTTCCACAAAGTGAAAAACAATGGGACAGAAAGAAAGAAAAAAAACAAAACAACAAAAAGCAACAAAGAACCAACAACAAATGCTGCATTCCGACAGCATAATATCAGTCTGGCTGTGAGCACATCATTTTGCTGCAGCGTAGTCGGAAAACCCTACAAGAAGAAGCAGAACACTGCAGGCAGCACTAACTGTAGCACTTACAACTTACTTCTCTAAACTTCTCGGGGTAAATTATACATGCGAGTGTGAGATCAGTTCAGGAATCAACAGACCTAACAATACTGCTGCGTTCTCTCATTCCGAGACAAGAGAGAGGAAAAGAAGAATGAAAAAGGGAGCCAACAAAAACCCTGTCTCTGAGACTTCATTTATTTCATTTATTTGCCACTTTGGATGGTAATTACACCCCCCACCCCACCCCCTTTCAATTTTATTACCTACTCACCAATATCGGTGAAAACATTTATTTATAGAACTGGAGCGCAATTATACACCACTAAATTCATAATTGGGAAGAGAGGGGTTTGTCTCAGAGACTTTATTTACTTAATTTATTTGCCACTTTGGACAGTAACTACATACCAGAGCTGGAGCGCAATAGTACACCACTGAATTCATAATTTGGGGGGGGTAGCATTTGAAATACCCCCCCCCCCCCTGAAATCCCCGACGCACTGCAAGCGCTGCTTTACTGTACTCGCCTACAAGTGATTCTATGAGTAAGATGAGCCACTCCCCTGGTAGAGAAAACGAAACCAAGCGACGGACGCCATCGGTGGGGAGAGGCGGATCTCGTATAGAATCTTCCCACATCATTGCTTTCCACCGAACCAGCTCAGATCATACTGATTGTCTGCTCAAAAATATATTCCTTGAAGGAGAAAGTCACTCAAACTTGTGGGGGGAAAAACACAGCCACCATATACATGATCTACCGATACCACACTGATATATTTATCTATTTTTAAAACATTTTATTTGAGGAAAAAAGAGAGACATATTCAAAAAATGATGATCATGTTGTTAGGTCCATGAGAACACAAGACAAGAGACGGAAATTACAGATGAAGCAATGGAAGTAAGAAGAAAAAGAAGAAGAAGAAGAAGAAGAACCTACCAGCAAGTGTCACCATCATCCAACCACCCACACCCTCGACTTTTTAAAATAGGTTAAAAAAAAAAAGAAGTAAAAGCTCTAGTACAATAGCTTTCATTCTTTGAAACAGTTTACATTAAATCACAGGTGTAATCTAATCTAAAGCTTTGGCACCTTATTCAAGCTTCAATAAAAAAAACTCTCTTGTATCTTTCTACCTTTTTCACAGTTTACACTTACGTATAACAAATCTAAAGCTTTGGCACCTTATTCAATTTTCAATAATTTCTTAGCGTAAGAGACAAAGTCGCAGACACGCAAACTATCCAAACAACAAAGCCGTCTTTTTCCAACAAACACAGCATTTTTTTCTCTCCTCCTATCTATAGTTGACCATTAAATTTTCTTTTAATCAACTGTCCTTTCATGTATAGTTAATGTATTGTTGTGAAAGTTCTTCTTTATGTGATTGGTGTAAAGCGCTCAGAGCTTACACTAGTATGGGAGAGAGCGCTATATAAATGCAATCTACTATTATCATTATTATTATTACTATTACATCATTCTGTTCCTCAGTGCACAGGCAAAAAATGCATCTGCATCTACCTTTCACTCAAGAGGAAAATGTTGGAGAGAGACAGCTCTACGCCACTCTCGCTAGCTACAGAACACACAAAAGGCACTGGATACATGCCATCATGAGAAACAAATGACGTAACTGTACATAGATATAGATAGAAACTCTGTGGTAAGGAAAATATCTAGAGAGTGCAAAGGCAAATGGTGTAGATGATGAAAGTCCAGAGCAGGAGGAAAAAAATAAATCCCGAGCCAACAGTCACGACTCGAGATTTCGGAATTGAAAGCCAGAACAAGGAGAGCCGTGTAGCCAGTTCCCAGTAATGTCATGCCATTTGTTCCGAGCGAGAGACCAGCAGAGAACCCACCACAACAACACATCAACCGACCGTCATGAAGGAAGGAACTTGTACAGGAACACACACACAAACAAAACACAGTAAACTTTTGTATCACATGACATCAATGATATATTTATATATATATATAAAACACTTTCATCCCTGGTGGATTTACAGAGACAAAACCCCCCCCAAAAAAACCCCAAAACCAGGTGATTATGACACTCAAGAACAATAACGTTATAACTATTCGAATTTGTTATATATATATATATTAATATATATATATATATATATATATCCTACCACTAAAACTGAAAGGTCTTTATCGCATAACCTGTTGCTCCCTAAATCTGCATAAAATAACATGAAGGAAGTTGTTAGGGGACTGTTGGGCAACGCTAGGGGACTGTACTTAATAACTTCCTAACATGAATGCCCAGATGAAGTTTTGCTCCTTTCAAGGCTCAAAACCAGAAAGACACAACTTGCTTCTTTACAAAACCTACCTATGAGAAGGGCACATTTTGTTTGTAGCTATGCAAAAAAAAAATTATTCCTGGTGGCATAAGATCCGGTCAAGTTTGAACCGTCATTTCGTGTGTGAAGCTTTCAACCCTGTCTGTGTCAATACTGTAGAGAAAAAAAACCACAGCAAGGATATCTTGTGTGCTAAGGCTAAAACAAAAAACATTTATATATATATCAACTGAAACAAAATGGTCGCAAAACCTGTTTTCCAACAAATCTGAAGCCCTATCATTGACTTATTATGGCTCTTGGTTTTCTCTTTATCAAAAATCCCGATGACAAACAAACAGCCCGTGATATAAAAATAACCATCATCAAAATCAGTCAGTGTGATCGTGACAAAATTCTTAAAATTAAAGTGAAGACACTCAAACATCATCTGACTTTTCTAAACTCCAAACACAAAAGTTGCAGCCGAGCCTTGCACGGGTGAACACCGTTACAACAATACGAGCGGAGTGAAATGCATGGGAGATCATAATAAGCAGTCATGTCGGAGGTAGAGGTTACTTCTTTCTTTGATCCAACATAATAACCGTTGTTGAAGCTGGCTGCTACTACTTCTAGAAACTTATTTTCTATTTTTCAATTAACTAACAATTCTACAGTGGGGGTAGGGTCTCTCTTCTTGATCCACACCCCTCAACGTAATGCTTAAAAAACAACCCAGCAGGCAAAGCAGGTAAAGTAGCAGCTTGAACCAAAAATAAAACAACCAAATATCTGCATACTTTCTTTCTTGTCTTCCTCATTGATGCAAATTTAAATGTATTGCGGACATTCTTCACACAGTTGACACATTTCCCACAAGACTCTGTCATGCAATACAACTGTACAACAGAAAAAATACAGCAACTTTAACAAGACTTAACAAACTGAACTTCCATCTCCAACATTATCAGGCCTATCCTGAACAACTTACAGATCAGGGCAAACTGCGCAATATAAGGGGGGAAATCATAGAAACTATACAAGCTATGAGCAGAAATATCATTCAATTAATCGAGCAGTAAAAGCGGGGGACGGGGGGGGGACACTGAACGCATTATTAAAAGTAAGGCCGGCGGTATGTTTCAGCTGTGTGACCTTCATTCGGAGAAAAGGCTTTTCAATTAAGCAACAAAACAATCTGCACTGACTGTCTCTTCCACTTGCTGACTGATACAGAGCAAATGGGGGCGGGGGGGAGGGGGGGTTGCTGTTGGTCAAACTATAATCAAGAAATATGACAGACTAGCTGTACAAATATATATATATATATATATAATTGTTCAAGCTGATTAGCACTACAACAACTGCACGATACAAAAAAATATAAATAAATAAATCACATGACCTACTTGTTAATCCCCCCCATGCAAAATGAAAAAATTCCAATTCACACTTTCAAACAAAACCTTATGAAAACCTCGGCCTAGTCTGACACTTGCTCATGCAGGAGCCGACAAAGCATCACTTGTAAATAGACCACAGCGGCACTGTCGTATACTGAAACAGTCCTTGGAGTCCAAATGAAACAATGTGACAAAAAGGAGATCAACAAGCATCTCATCATACACTCAACAGAGTACCACTAACAGATCTTTACAACAAGTAACAAGTCAAAAGTTATCGTGATGACCTTCATGATAAATTCATCACACCCTAAAGGTATCTAAAAAATATGTTTTAACACAACATTTTTTTTAACGGAACACTCAAAGAGATGAAATATTACCAGAAGGACTTATAAACTTTATCGCTGCTTTTCCAAGAAGAACAAAAACGATTTTAAATCCAGAAAGATGCAGTGAATTTCATCCAGACAGCCAAAAAAATGTTACGCTACTTTTGTGCTCTGTACATTCTATCAAGGTGTGTTTTCAAATCTAATGATATTCAAGTTGGATTTTCCACTCTTCACGTTATCTAAACTCCTCACAACCGTTGTTAATGACGAGGTCATGGTGCCCCCATTTTTTATCTTTTCGCACAGCAGTAGACAAAAACTTTAACAAAAACTATATAAGCAGGATACTGTATTTCCCAACTGAAACACAATAATGTGAAAGTGCATTTACAGAATAGCAAAGGATATGTGTTGAACTATCTCTTACTGATTATTTTTTTATCCTAGTATTAAAAATTTTTAATACAGAATTCCAAAAATCAACCAAAAAAAAAAATATATAAAAAAAATTTTTTAAATAAAAAATATTAAAAAATACAAAAACTAGAAAAAACCCAGTTCAAACTTTGCGTCTATATTGGGGGTTTCCTTTTTCCTGCAACATATTGCAGCTTCATGAAGCATCGCAGGCATTCAAGCCACCGGCACCGCCCTTACATCAACGACATACTCACAGAAATAAAAAGTTGCCAAACAAACAAACACACACACACACACATTTGTTCTCGACAGGAAACGCCAGAAGACTCCCGATCAGTACATACATACATACATAGGTTAAAATTCAAACTGGCAGGCTTTGGGTTCCACACTAACGGGAACTTTTCCATAGTTATATCACAGGCAACACTGAATCTGTCCCCGTGGTTTTATGCACCCCGCATAATCTTGCAAAATTTGACCATTTTTTGCATACTTTCTGATTATTTTCCTTTATCATTCTTCGTTAAAATGAACAGAATAGCATAATTTCACATTTTAGGGCTCAGTTTGCGTAATTTCACAATTTTTCTAGCATAAACCGACGGGGACAGCTAAAACAATGGAAGGGAGGAAAACCGTCTCTTCCAGAGAGAAGTTCATTCCTCGCTTTAAAAACAAAAAAACAAAACAAAACCGGCAGTAAATAAAAATAACCACAAAAAAGTCACCAGGTCAACACTGGTTCCTTTTTCTTTCTTCTACTTTTGTTCAGACTCTCAAATTTCAATCAGCTCAGAAGCAGTTGCCAAACCGTCGTAACAAACAACAACAACAACAATATACTCGCATACACAACTCTAACCGCTTCATTATTCTTTCTTCGCAAACTTCTCCATCTCCCGGATGGGTAGATGCATCTGCAAGGGGTCGCGGAGCCGCCGAAGGTCGTGCTCAGCTTCAGTGATGGCCTCTCGGAGTTCATTGTACTTGTCCACGTCCAGATCTTCCTTCTTGGCCAGCTTGTAGAACTTGATGAGGAACTGGCGGTCTCGGGCGTCGGGGAAGATGTATTCCTGAAGGGAGAAACGAAACACGGCCAGACTTAGACCTTGTTTTTACAAGTGTATTACGGCATTTGCAACACAATAAGGTCATATAAGTGCCGAAGAATAGAGGTAAAGTTTAAGCAAGTGTTTTACGGCACTCGCAACACAATAAGGTCATATAAGTGCCGAAGATTAGAGGTGTTACAAGAGAGTAACAAACACAAAAAAGAAGGAGGGGAGATAAAGACGATAAGACATTTGATAGGAAAGAAGAAGCAAACTGTACCACAGCACCTGCCAACCAACCACGCAGCGAGACTTAATTCCCCTGTCACTTCATAATGTATGATGATGAGGACGATTATCACCACTGTCACTTCATAATGTATGATGATGAGGACGATTATCACCACTGTCATGCTTCTGTTTTGCTAGATGCTTAACTTTTTCAATCTGTTAACAACCCCCCCCCCCCGAAAATAAAGGGGGGGGGGGGGGGGGGGAGAAGAGGAAGGGGGAGAGAGTGAGAGAAACAAAAAGAACAACAAAAAATAAAATAAAACCACACCCCCCCTCCAACCACAAACACACACGCACACAGACACACCCCACCCACGGACACACCCCACCCAAACAAAACATACCTGCTTGGTGAGGACAAAGTAGGCAAACATGGCCATAGAGGTTCCGTAGGTGACAAAGTAGGTGACGGGCTCCATGATATCCCACGAGTACTCCCACCACGTGAGCCGCGCCAGGATGCCGAACTGCAGTCCCATCATGCCCAGCCCCAGCCACGACAACCGGTTCGTGTTGTTGTTGGCCCTCAGAAACAGGTTCTGGCTTTTCTGTTCCGGGCAAAACAAATACACATGATGTTGTAGTTGTCGTTACTTTAAATAAAACGTGTTGGTGTATAGTGTATGGGTTTCATGCCCTCATCAACACTATTAAGTTATTAAAGAGACAGGAGCTCCAAATTTAATATCCATTGTCCCTCCATTATTTGGTATCAAAATATTTTGATTCATGCAGTTATTCGTTAAACTGGGGTTACTCAAACACCATGCCCAACTAGTTGGGCGCTCTGCACAAATGGGTTAAAGAGACAGGAAATCCAAATTTAATATCCATCTCCCATAGGTCAAATTTGTTTAGAGCTGTGAAAACTCAACAAAATGACCCCCGGTTCAAGGAAACCTAGTCTAGGAATCGAACCAGCGCCATCTGCTCTGTAGTCCACCAACAAGCATGTCAAAACATTCACCATAAAATGTTCCACAGGTTCTAAAAAGGAATTCCACGTCCTTGCTTCAAAATCCCTCAAATTCAGGTTAAGCTTAAGATAAGTTTTTTTCATTACTTCTTCACCCTGATCACTGCTCTGTTCACAACAATTTAGCCACAGGTGGACCAGACAAATTCTTTAATGCAATCTTTCCAACTCTTCAAAGACTGAAAGTGGGAAAAATTCCCAAATTTCAAAGAAATCAGGATAAATGTGAGCAGAGATCATGTTTGCGAGTCAAATTTCCTCAAGCTTTATCATATTCCAAGATTGATGAGGCAAAATTCCCCCCCAAACATTGGAAAAGATTAAAGTCATATATGTATCGTTTGGTTGATTAACAGCCAAAATAGCTAATCGTTCACGAGTACAATAATGTAGGAACAAAGACAAAGAAGCAGATATAAAAAAAACTATTAAAAAAAACTGCCATTATCACTATAGCAGCATTCCATCAGGGGAGACTAACTTTTCCTGTTTTTATTAGTTCACACAAGACTTTGCTCATTTAGGAAGGAAAGTAATTTTTTCACTGTGGCTGAATAAATCGAGAGAATGACATTATCCGGACCTCGAGAAATGCGGTCTAAATTTGAAAATTTCCCCATAAAATGGGAAAGTCGTCAAGTCTGTTTGCATATATAAGACATAGATAGGGAAGGCTGGCAAGTCTGTGAATGCATTATACATGACTTACTTGTTCAAGGGGTGCAATCTGCATGTTGAGATCTTCCAATCGTTGGAGAATCTCATTCTCTCTCTCCAACTGATGGTTCTCTACGTTGAGAGTGGAGTACAGCTTCGAAATCAGCTGCTTCACGTCGGTCATCGTCTGTGCATCCTCCGACGAAACAGGGCCTGGCGTCCAGATAATAATAATAATATATAATAATAATAATAACAACAACAATAATAACAATAACAATAAAACAACAACAATAATAATAATAAAAATAATATTAATTAACATAATAATAATGATTGCATTTATATAGCGCTGTATCTCATGAAAGTATGTATGCCTTGAGCACTTTCCCTCAATGACATGCATAACTGATTCCGTCCATTCGACCGCTCTGAGCGGCTCAATGAAATCCGAAACAAATATGCACTTTTTAACATAGTTCCGACTTTTTAAGTTGTCGAAAGGAAGTAGAACTTGTAAACAAACCTGACCTCAATCTATGAGCGGCAATATCGATCAAAACTGCTAAATTTTGGCAAAAATCATTGTTTTGTTGTCGCGATGTAGGCTAGATCTAAGGGTAAACAACACGGGGCCTGGTATAATAAAAAGGTCCTTCAAAGAAAGATATTCAACTAAATTTGTGAAATTCTTGCATAAATGTGTGCTAGGGTGATATCACTACAATGTTGTGTTGATTCCTATGGATTATAAGGACTTGTAGAGCTGAGAAAATGCGGTAAGTCGAAATTTTCTAAGAGCTGTTGCGCAAATTTTTTTTCTCATTCGTTTTTTTTCTGAAGAAAAATGCAGTACAAACAGATTATAGGCCATTGTTATTGATATAAACACATTCCTCTATTTATTCCCATCAGTTTGGTATATGACAGTACCTATTAGAGTGACTTAGAGCTTCACAGCAATGCATTAAATAGATGCACCCCAGGTCTAAAACTGAACAAGGAAAAATAATTCTGTCCAGAGCCTGAAAAAATCATGGACGGAATCAGTTAATGAGAGTGAGAAAACCAGTTCAACCACATCAGACAGACATGAATATATTATCTCACAGCGGTGTATAAAAACTCTCTCAAAGTCAAAGCACTTAAACGTTGCGAGATACAGATGTTTTAGTTTAGTTTTCGTAAGAGTCTTACGGCACTTGCAACACAATCAGGTCATATAAGTGCCCAAGATTAGAGGCGTTACAAGAGAGTAACAAACACAAAAAAGGAGGGGAGATAAAGACGATACAGATGTCAGTGATAAATCTTTAAAGACTGGCAAAAAATTCATGATGAATATTTTCCTGGAAAAGTTCATTCCTACTTACATGAATGTCAATTCGTTAATACTTTGAAGCAAGTAGATAAAGAATGTACTCTGCCTTATCTAAATCAGTCAGTAAACTCTTCGTTAAGGTGACATAAAATTTAAAATAGTACTATTCATCAGCAAAATTTCCATGAAACAAAGGTTAGAGCACCATAACCCATTAGCTAAAAAAAAAGAAGTATTGCATCAGCACAAAAGGAGCGAAATAACCCATATTATTTACTTCCTTCCAAGAAAATTTACCCACACTTAAAAACAATTTTTTACAGAATACACAAAGTACTAACAGAAGTCATATTCCTGTAGAGTCGAATCATTTCATGACAGAACAAGGTCTTCCCCCAATATTGAAGCAACTACACACTTCTGGAATTTCTACTTTATGTAAAAGTACTTTGTCTCAGGATTTGTTTGTAAAATACTACAAAATTTACTTCTGGTTTGTTTGTTTTTTTGTTTCTTGTGGTAAGTGTTTTGCAGTTCTCACAACCGCAGAAGGTCACATGAGCGCGCGGGACACATTAAACATTAACAACTGGTAGGAAATTTTGAACTTTGCCCGGGTGGCAGCCGAAGCCTACTCTTATCGATTTTGGACCACCAAGGGATTTTTAATGAGCGCAACTTGAACACAAGACCTCTGAGATTTTTCGCCCTTATCCGAGAAGGAAAGGTGTTGGATCTTACCTATCATATGATTAGGGGTGTGACAGAAAGACAGCAGCAACAAGGCGCCAAGGAGTAGCAATTGAAAGGCTGCAGTAAGAGTCAGGAGCCCAGAAAAGGGGCAATGGAGGTGAGGCAGTGAGGGCAGAAAATGGAGATGAAAGCCAGACAACAGAACATTGTTAGAGAGCAGGAAAGGATGTAAAACAGGAAAATTTTAGAGCAGAAAATTTTCTGTCTCTAGCTGGATTCGAACCTCGGACCTGCTGAGTGAGAGGCAAACACATAAACCTCTTGACCACGATAGCACCCTTACTTCCGTTTATATAACAACAAAATTATGTAAGTTATCACAATGCTCACAAAGAACTGGAGGGCTGACATCATATTTTTCTTCGTTGATGCTAAGCTTAAAGTCAGAACGCATCAGCACATCAATGGTTGTTGACTTTGCAATTCTGTTGCCCTCTGAAAAAAAAAAAAAATCATCTCCTGTTAATTCAGCATGAGTGTAAAGAAACATCAAACATTGAACAATAAAATAATGACAAAACTCGAAGAAAAGGCATGCCAAAACTTCACAAATATAGAGCAACTGATGACAAGAGATTCAGATAACTATAACAATCGGGGGGTTTTTTAGTAAGTGTTTTACGGCACTTGCAACACAACAAGGTAATATAAGTGCCGAAGATTAGAGGTGTTACAAGAGAGTAACAAACACAAAAAAGAAGGAAAGACGAGGACGATAGATGTTTGATAGGAAAGAAGGAGCAAACCACACCAGAACACCCGCCAACCCCCCACATAATGATGTTTAGAGGAACTCGGTAGTGTAGATGGTCTAGCGTTTAGGCTTTTGGGCTCGCAACCGAAAGAATGGGGGATCGAACTCCGTCAGGGGCCTGACTGACATTGTGTCCTTGGGAAAGGCATTCTACTCAAATTTTTCTCATTTCACCCAGGTGGGAATGGGAGCTTGCCTTTAGACAGAGAAAGATCTTGTCAGATTGTTAGTGTTTGAGAGCTTAAACTGCTGCTTGCACTGTATGCAGAGAATGTTTCTAAAAGTGTTATAGCATCTGCTGGAGTTATATAATATAAATTGCAAAGCCCATAGAGACTGCTGTTGAGCAGAGATAGCCTGCACTCTTCACTATATATACTCAAAGAGGTCATAGACAAAATAGATAAGCCTGGCACATTACTTGCACTCGTGCATGCACACACGCACATGCACACACACACACACACACACTGATCTTCAAGACTCAAAGAGTAAGATTACAATATATTATATTCTATATTTCTACTAGGTGTGGTGATGTTTACCATGATCATACTTCACAAGGATTGCAATTACAACATTGTCTGACCACAAAGTACAAAATAAGAATATGGTTGGGCAAGGCTAAAAAAATTTTCTACAAAATGACATACCTGCGGTAAAAAAGGTCACAGTGTCAACACCTCCATCTTCTTCTTTGATGAATCTGACGAAATCTCCCACTGTCTGGGATATAGGCTTTAAGGTGAATTCACAGGATTCCTTCCGTGAAGGCAAAGGAAGAGCAACGACAGGAAGCCCATCTCGGATATCAACAGTTACGTCTGTAGGGAAAACAAGCAAGAAAAACAATTTTATTCATTTCTCATTCGAAAAACAAACAAAATGACCAATTTACATCACAACATTCTAAAATTCTTATAAATACTTCATTGGTTCTGTCTATTTTTATAAAAGATAAAGAGGTGCTATTTAAATTTTAATTGCTAATTGACAGTAGTCAAGTTACTCAAGGGTAACAGCCATAGATTTGGTCTACATAAAACTTCTTTAAAACATTTTTTAAAATGTCAACCTTTCTATCTGATCTACTTTCTGTACTTCATTTAGTGTGAACAGATGGGAATCATAACCTTTATACTCAAGTTTTAACAAAGCCAATAGTTATATATTCATTTGAAAGCTCTAACAATTAACATATGTATGTATTTATCTTTCAGACATGCTGTATGATCGTACCTATCGTTTATCGTTAAAAAAAAACAGAAAACAAAACTAATTAATCAGCTTGACAAGAAAACAATAATACACTTGCAACAAATCATAGTATGAGGTTTGATCCTCAGATCACAACCTTTACAATGGTCTTTACCTGTTTTGTATAAAACTTGAGAACTGAAGGGACGCAAGAGCTGATGACTAAAAGCCGGAGCTCGATGCAATGTCTGCAGCTGCGGACAAAGTTTTAGGAACATTTTTTTCACAAAGAGTAAACAAGAGCTGAAAACCCTAAATATAGAAATTATATATGCGGTGGAATCTACTCAAGAACCAAACAGTCAATTCGAAAACAGCAGCTGACTGATATATATAAATAATTCTCCTTATTATTATATTTTTTCTTCGACTTAAGCAACCTCTCCAAACCAAAAACCTGGATCAACCAATGATAACCCAGCTGTCCCATAGATTTCAGTTTAACAAGAAGCGGATTCCACTGCATACATGATAGTTTAAAACAAAGTGGAACCGAACTGTGGCCACTCCACTTGACAAGCATAAAATAGAAGTTTAAAGGTTTTTAAATGGGGACAAAAGATCGGCTTGAATTTGGGAAATCAGTAAGAAACTTCAGCAAGATCATGAGTAGGAACAGGAGCACGTGTGTAAAAACAAGGCCTATTTTCTTCTCTCTCTTTAACAGTAACAAGGTATTGTTTGAACATTCCATACTGAGCAGTCTTGTTGCCCCTAGCAACATATTATATCAAATCCTTCTTGAACAAAACACAGAAGAGACAATAAGGATGCTGATAGCTCTGAAAGCTCTACCGGACAAAGAAAATTACAAAACTGTGTGACAGAGAAGGTCCATACAGTCAAATTTCTATTTTAAAAAAGACATTTAAAAAAACCCCAACATATATGTACCTGAATAGTTTGATGCAAAATTATGAAGTTTTAAAAAGATGCACAGCTTGTGTTTTTCACACAAAAACACATTGGTTTTCAATATAGAATCTAAATAAAATAAAACTGGGGAATAGCTGAAAAGGGGAAACAAAAGTTGCTCTATTAAGATCGTAACATATCTTTGTAAATATTTCCATTTCTCGAAGCCCGATATGAAAATTTCAAAATTTGTTTGTAAATTTGTGCATTAAAATTTTTAAACTACAGGTATTAACGTGATTCTTTCGTTTCCATGGATTGCCTTTTAGATAAAATCAATGATGAGATCAGAATGAACCAAGTCCAAATGCGATTCAAGCAAGGGCATCAACTTTGGTACGTTCTTATGAATGAAGAACGTTTCCTTCTCTCCGTTGTTTCTCTGACTGTCATTTTTGTTACACTTCCCTACACTCTACTCTCTCTAAAAGGCTCATTGTGTCAATTTGAGAGTTTGTGCTTTTCAACTTTCTCCAAACCAACTGAAACAAGGCCACCTCTATTCTCGCCCGGGGTGAGAATAGTGCAGGCGAGTCTTTTGGCTATTCTCACCCGGTGCGCGTTCACCGTTATAGCCTAGATCTAGGCCAACCAATTTTGCGTTCACCCGAAACCACAAAATTCTACACTGTGATATAACAGAAAAATTGTAGAATTCTGTGCCGTGAACAAACTTTCCATTACTACTGTTAGCCTACTAAAAGCGTACAATTTTGTCTGTGGGCAGTGGAGAGAGAGAGAGAGAGAAAGAGAGAGAGAGGAGTAGCGCGAGAACTTCTGGGCAAAACAAAATGGTGACCCGCGTAGTTCTGCTCGATTCGAAAAGTTAAATAGCCGTAGCATCTTTGTAGACGACCAAATTAATTTACTTTTGTGTTTTAACATCATTTTTTAACTTTGTTTTGGTCAATTTGATCGTCCACACCGATAGACATTATTCAGAAAGAGATAGAGAGAGAGAAGAGGGGAGGAGTAGATCTTGCGAGAACTTCCGGGCAAAACAAAATGGCGACCCCCGTAGTTCGGCTCGATTCGAAAAGTGAAATAGCCATAGCATCTTTGCAGTCGTTAAAATTAGCTTACTTTTGTGCTATAACGTAATCTTCTCTTTGCCTTTATCCATTTGATCATCCACATCGATAGAAAGTATTCCGAAATTAGGAAAAACAGGTCTTGTTTCACACAGGGTGAGAATAGCCTACGGTGGCAAGTCTCACCCGGGGTGAGAGGTCGATCGTATAAATTCTATTCTCACCCCTGAAACAAACCAAACGTCCAAATGAAATGAAAACAAGGCTGGATTGAACTTTGGTGGACCCACAGTGTTTACATTTATTAAAGCGTACTAGCCATATCAATAGTGGGAGGTTTCATGGTGGTTTGCGGAAACAATAATAATAATTTAAAAAACACACATAAATGCAAAACAATAGCAGACCATAGCACAACATGAACAAGGCTCAAAATGAGTCAAAAGTAGTTCCGGCTTCGTTCAGTATTGTGTCCACCAAAGTTCAATCTTACCGAATAAAACGTTGGAAAGTGGAAAATCACTTACTTTTTTACTGTCTTACTTTGGAGAAAGAAAGTGAATTTATATAAAGGCAAAAAAGGCATAGAGACAGAGAGTAGGTTGAGTAGGCAACAAAAAAGGGTTCCCCCACCCAGCGGCCCAGCCCAGCAAAACAATAACACAGGTTGACTTGTTTCATTCAAGTAAAGACAGTAAAATTAGTAAGTGGTAGCCATGTAATTTGTAATGTGGGATGCAAGGCTCACAAGAATCTATCACCATCTTGGTGAGCAAGTGTACATTGTGTTTTCAGAAAGGAAAACCTAAAGAGTTGGTTTGATCTTGATCTAAAAATTCATGAAATGGGGAAACAAAAGGGTTTCTAAGACAAAAGTTAGTAAAGTCAAAGTTGGGTGAAGTGAAGGACCCCCTTTACACATTCCTGGGACAAACATCAAATGCATTTCAAAATCCGATCACAAATATCATTGAAAGAAGAAACATTTACCTTGCAATTAGCATTGCGCACAACAAAACTATTTATACTTGATATTTCGAGGTGCACTTGCTTAGAAAAAAGGCTTCTAACTAGAAGTTTTCTAAAGGGAATAGAAGCAGCCATTTTAATTCCGGGAGTACTTATAGTTTATGCCAGGTAGGCCTATGTGCGCTAAATAACCATTAAAAGTTCAAAACATTTCGTGAAGACAGCTATCAAGTTTCAAATATTCATTGATATCCACGCAAAGGCCCTAGAAGAGTAATGCATTTTAAATTATTTTGAGTATCCAAGAGAGATCATTCTAAATTTGATCAGCATTTCTTCTAAATGGTGTAACGAAAATAATGAGCAAATGATCCAATGGGGCAAACATCCATAACTTGGTTACAGTGTCATTTTACCCAAATATGTGTAGAATATAAAACTACTGCAACTTTCCCTTTTCATCAAATTCGATAATATTAATTTTGCAAAAATGCACTATTATATTGTGTAATTTGTACCACACCCTTCACGTTTAGCTTACCACCCACCCCCTTCCCTAATCCCCCTTCAATCGGTGCAGGCGAACCTGACGCACTCAGAAAAAAAAGTTACGTGTGACCTGCCAAACAGGCTATCATAGCAGCGAGTCCGCGATCCGTCATTATTGTCCAGCGTTGCGATTTCCACGTTTCCAACTTTTACTGTTTTCAATGCTGTATTTGCTGTTGTTACTAATATGTTAAATGCAACATCAGACATGGTTATAAATTGGCAACTGAAGCACTATGTGTCTCACGGACGAGCTAATAGGTCTAGAGGAGGGAAATGTCAATAAGATCTAGATCTAGATCTATAGGCCTATCTTTTACCAAAATGAAATGCAAATTTAATACAAGCAACAACTTCATGCTAAATACCGAAAGCATCACTGCGATCGGGTCGCGGTTCACGGGTTCGTAAAAACAAAAATAAATATTATAATAATATCGAACCTGTCTGATGTGAAATAAGCCCCGCTCTTGAATTCTATCGTCAAATCCGAGAGACAGGGGAGAAGTGCAGGAGGGCTTGGGGATAGAAGAGCGGGTGATAAGTAAGGATGGTTATCAGGTATATAAGGCTCTTTCAAAGGAAGACCGTTTGAGCCCTGACAGAATATAGAGCGTGAGAGATGAATGAGATAGAGGTGCAAGTAGTTTTTAAAAATACACGTGTAATGGTGAATCCATAAATTTATGATTAGAGACACAGAAGTATAGTATACTGATTGCCGTAGAAGGGGGGGGGGGGGTTAATTAAGGTTTTCGTCAGCCCAAATTTTATACAGCTGACATTATTAATCAAAGGTACGGTACGTTGCGTGTGTAACCTTTCCACTGCAGGGCGTGGTGCGAATGACGTGGCAAATCCGTAATCAAGAACCTAAAGTGAGAAAGTTGTACTACAGTATAGCGCATGTAATTTAAACAAAACAACGGGCAGGTATAAACAGGACGTGGCTATAGTGAACATAACGGCCTGACTGAGGAGTTGATGGTGCACACACCTCTAGACGGGCATTAGAGAAGACTGTGCTCATTAATTTATTATAATGTGCAGTAGGCTGCACGTGTACACGCTCCTTCCCGCATGAACGCACGCACGTGTATGTGTGTGTGCGG